TTAGGGCCCCGCTAAACCCCAAAGCCCCTGAGAGTGGCTGCATCTCAAGGCCTCATGGAAAAGGAGACCCACGGGCAGGACCACCAGGCCCAGTCCCCACACCGGCATTCCTGGACTCTGGAGGCTGAGGCAGGAGGATCACAGTTCAAGGCCAACCCAGGCAACCTAGTGAGACCCTGTCCCCAAATGAAAACGGAAAAGGGCTGGGGTGAGGCCCACAGGTAGAGTGCCCTGGGCTCCGTCCCCACAGGGACAAATAAACAAACAAAGGACAAAGGAGCTTTGGAGGCCACACGCCACTGTGGGTTCTTCTGCGGCTTCTTCTGTCTTCCAGGCCCAGGGTCTCGCAGGAACCAGGACAGAGCCCCAGCCCCGGCCCTGTTGGGGGCTTCTTGTTGCAATGAGAAAACGAATCCTTACTGAGCACCTACTACACGCAGGCTCTGCGCTCAGCCACTTTCTTCAATTTAACAGAGTCTAGAAAAGGGTGGGGGCGCACAGCAGGTGTCTCATGAATATTCATTGACTAGATAAATGGCTTTAATTCCCGTGTTAGCCTTACGAGGTTAAGTGCTATTATTGACGCATTAGGGATGAGAAGAGGCCTCGGAACAAGGCAGAGCGGTTCTTCTCCGGGTGACACTCACCAGCGGGGAACAGAGATCCTTCCTGTCTGGCTGGTTCCGAGGCTGGAGCAGTCCTCTCTGCCGAGCAGGGCTTCCAGGAACTCCTGAATGGGGTGTGGAAGGAGCTGTCCAGCCCTCACGGTGCTGAAAGAAGGGCGGGAACTGGGCCGACCAGGCTGGGGCAGGCACAGCTGCTCCCCAGCTGATCCCTCACTGTCCCACCCTGGGGACGGCTCTTCCCAAGTCCTGTGGGCTAGGACCTCTCCTGCCACCACCCAGCTCTGACGCACTCCCTAGCCCCTGGCTGCCAGAGGACAGGAAGGAAGATCGGTTGTCCCCTCCGACCCCAAGTACTGCCCAGCCCAAGACGCCAGAGGGGAGCCAGCCAGGTGGCAGTGGGGCAGGTGTGTCCCCAGCCCTTCCCAGGCTGCGCCCAGGGCTTCCGTTCTGCCGGGGACATCACCACTCTGCCTTCCACTCTGACGGGCTCCCCATCACCACCCAGGGTCAGTCCTCACCCCTGGGAGAGACGTCCTTCAAGAGCTGGCCCTGCCAACCGCCCCCCCCCCCCGACTCCGGGTCCAGCCATCCTGAGCACCCCATCCCTTAGCCCCCGACCCGGCCGTCCAGGGCGACCAGGGAGGTGGTCGGGACAAGCATTCCCAACAGAGGGAAAAGCATGTGCAAGGTCCAGTCCTCGGGCAGCAGGAGACCCTCTGGCTGTCCGCGTCCCCCGCGCCCCGTGGCCACTCCCACCCCCGGGTCGCCTCCACCTCGTCTCCGCGAGGAGGCAGGAAGTGACCCACGGCTCCCTGGAAAGCAGCGGCACTCGGGGGCTTTAGCCATCTGGACCACT